ACTAATCCCGTATCTTTTAAGGAATGTCAATTTTATAAGGATACTAATCCCATACTAATTAATCCCATATCTTTTAAGGATACTAATCCCACATCTTTTAAGGAATGTCAATTAATGCAGGATACTAATCCTACATTAATATAGATACAAGGAATTTCAATTTTATAGGACGTTCTTCTTGAAATGACTTTTAAGAAAATCTTGTGCATATAATGAGAATCCCATACCTTTTAAATATATCCTACAAATCCAATTGTCGAATTCTTTTTGAGGATTGATTGAGCTAGATTTACTACTATTGGTGGAAAATTCAATTACTAAGACAATTAAGAATGGATATGGTAATACGAGAATTCAAATGACTTTCTATACTTGGAAGTGTTTTCTATATTACATGTACGATCTCTCTAAAGAAGATATCTACTGCGTGTATTTTGATAAATAATACTTCACAAGTTCAATTTTTTTTTTTATTTCTTAGTAGAATGGCCACATGGATCCACTTTCTTCTCTTCTTTAATTTTGCACTTTGTGTTTTGAGTGCAAGATCAATTCAAGATCAGGCCACACAAAATCTACCAACCATTGAAATCATCAATTCTTTGCCAGCAAACTCGGAACCAGTGCGATTTTACTGTGCTTCCAATAATATCGACTTGGGTATGCACTCACTTCCTGTGGGTGAAGTCTACCAATGGAAAGTTGTGGAAAAGGATACATTTTACTGCGCAGCTGAATGGAAACAATATTTTTCATCGTGGTATGGGTTTGAAGTACCTAGAGATGACAATCATGGAACTGTGTATTCGTTGATGAAGGAAGATGGGATCTATCTTAGTTGGGATAAAGCCAACTGGGTGCTGCAAAATACATGGAAAGCAAAATAGATGGACAATATTTTGAAATTTCGTGCTCGGTTTTATGGTAATTATCGGACCGAGTGCATTAGTTTGCAACGCAACTCTTTCATGTAATCATAAATTGATTGTTACCGCTTTTGTTCGTTTAATAATATTATAATACATTGCGGGTTGGATTTCAAGTTAATTTAGCATAATCTGTCTCAAAAGTCCAGTAGAATACAAACATGCAGTAATCAATTCCAGCAGAACACCCACATTTTAATCATCACTTCCAACACATAATCTTTCATCAAATCCCAGCAAGCACACACACACATGCATTTTGGCCAACCCCATAGCTAAGGCCAGCCCTCTGCCATGTTTTGTTCTTTTCTTTTTATTCATTTTTCTTTGTTAACTGTCATGGAAATTGACCTTATTTCGTCTCTGTTTTCTTGTCCTGGTTTCAGTTTTCTTTAGAGTTAGCTTAGGGGTCTTAGGTCAATTATCTTAGGGTCTTTTTCTTCATTTTCGGTCTTGGGGTCTTATGAACAAGAGGAAGGGAGTTTCATGACCCATAACTTTTGAAACTAAGTAAGCTTGGGGAAGGTTTGACAATATTCTTTCTCTTCTCCTGCTGGTTATCCCCCTTCTCCCTTTCTCTGTTTCTAGTCCCTTCTTCCTTCCCTCTAGACAGCTGTCTGATCTTCTCTCAAGATCTAACTCCGCCCCCCCCCCTCTGTTTCTGGTCCCTTTTTCCTTCCATTTAGACAGCTGTCTAATCTTTTTTTAGGATCTAACTCTCCCCCCTCTCTCTCATGTTTAAGGGCACTCTCTGTGCTTAAGTTTTTGTTGGGAAGGAGAAAGTGAAGAAAAGCATGCAGCTGGACATGCAGTTGTTGCTGGTAGACTTTTAGGGGAGAGGAAGAAGGCAAGAGCATGCAACCTTTTTAAAAAAGAGTGCCTGTTTATATAAAATCTTACCAATTATTTTAAATTTCATTAAGTTACTTAATTAAGTTACTTATTAGTATTTTCAGTTTCATAAAATTTATATTCATAAAAGTTTTTTTTTATATTTTCATGTTTATTTATTTATTTATTTTTATTTTTATTTTTTAACATTCAAGAAAAACATTTTAATTCAGATTCTTGAATATATCATCATTTTTATAATTTAATTTATCATTTCTTCTTATTTTTTTATAATTTTAATTTTTATTAATATCAATAATATTATATAGGGTTTTACAAGAAAAATCTTAAAATATTTTTTTATTTTTTAAAATTTATTTTTGATATAACACGTTAAAAGGATTTAAAAAACAATCTTATAATTTAATTTACCACTTTCCCTTATTTTTAGTAATTGGGGTTTTATGGGAAAAATATTAAAATATTTTTTTATTTTTAAAAATTTATTTTTGATATAACACATTAAAAGAATTTAAAAAACAAAAAAATAATTTAAAACTAAAAGAAATTAAAATTCTTCAAAAGGATGGTTGACCGCAATTTCAAACTCTCCCCAAGAACACTAATACAAAGTAGTGATATATAGGTAGGTAATATCATAGTAAACTCAACAAAATCAAGCTCCTTTGGGATGCATTTTGAGATTTGGTAACAAGTTCTGTGGTGTAAGGACTACGGATACCATCTTTCTCCACATTGATATGATATTGTCCACTTTGGACCTAAGTCCTCATGGATTTGCTCTTGGGTTATACCCAAAAGGCCTCATATCAATGGAGATATTTGTTCATCCTTATATATCCTTGATCCTCCTCATTTCTAACCAATGTGGGACCACCTTATATCAATGGAGATATTTGTTCATCCTTATATATCCTTGATCCTCCTCATTTCTAACCAATGTGGGACCACCTTATATCAATGGAGATATTTGTTCATCCTTATATATCCTTGATCCTCCTCATTTCTAACCAATGTGGGACCACCTTATATCAATGGAGATATTTGTTCATCCTTATATATCCTTGATCCTCCTCATTTCTAACCAATGTGGGACTTTGGTCGCATACCCAACATGTGGTAATAAAAATTTGGTGAGTGCGCAAGTAAGGTTCTAGCATAGTGGTGAGAGAGGTTTATTCCCTTCTTCCACACCTGAGTTCGAACCTTACCATGCACGCCTGTCATCCCCGCGGTGTCTTACCTGTTCACTGGGCTTGCAGGATGTTCAGTGGACCGTGTGGATTAGTCGTGGTGCGTATAAGCTGGCCCGGACACCTTACGTAAATAAAAAAAAAAAATTTGGTGAGTGCAGTATGTTACATTTATTATGTATTTGGTTCCCGATTACGATATTGAATAAAGTGGTCAAAGGAAAATGGATAAAGTGATCAGGCAAGTCTTCCTGTTCCTACGCTGGGGAAGTAATAATTTGAGGTTTTCTTGGTACCTGCTTGGGCACTTCACAGTACCAAAAAAGTTAGAGTAAATGAACAAACCAACCACCTAAACCTCTTTTTTATTATTTGAACCCTTGTTATAAAACCGTACTGGCCAGCACTGGTTAATTCTAGATCTGACTAACCCGAAGTCTTGACCTGTTCTGGTTTAAGAAATAAAAAATAAAGAAAAAATTGTCCTTAAAGATCGATTCATTGCTTGCATATATGTATTAAGAAAGTTTATGATGAAAACAAATATGTAGTTGATTTAGAGGTGTGAAAACACTATCTTTAATGTGTTTATTTGTTTCACATAGAGTTAACACCTCCAGGATATGACTAAGCCCTCTAAACTTTTAAAAAAATAAAAAGATAAGACCAAGAAAAGAATATATGTATTTTGTTGTTATATTTTTTTCTTTATAGTAATTTCCTTTATAGACTTGAAATATAACGATGAAACAATATGACTGTTAATCAAATAATATGATTGTTGATGAACCATTATGATTGTTTATCAAACAATATGACTATTGATGAAATATTATGGTTGTTCATAAAACAATATGGTTATTAATGAAATAATATAATTATTCATCAAATAGTATGATTATTTATAAAACAGTATAACTGTTCATATTAAGTTTCAAGTTAAAAATTCTAAATGCTATGTTTTGATATTTTAAATATTCATATAATAACATTAGAAAGTTAAATAGAAGAGTTTATCCACCATGATTTAATTTACTACAAAATAGAAACCTATACTTAAAAATATTATGAGAGAGTGTTTCTTTTTAATGTGAGATAAATATTTTTTTTTTTATTTATAAAATACACCAACAATATGTACCGTATTGTCTTTTTTATATTGAATAAACGATGATCTTAAGTTATAAGATAAGAGAGAAGGGTGATTTAAAAGAAGGCATCATAATGTCTGCAAGCTGTGAGTTGATTTTGATATGAATCTACCAGCTTCCCCTTCATGTTCTGTAGCAGAATGTCAGGTTTTTATGTTTTTGATTCATGCTTATTTAAAAACACAAATCATAAAGGTTAGATGATGTGTGTGTTGTGGAATACACAATTAAAAAGAGATGAAAGAAGAATGCATGCTCTCTAAGGTGTCATAACAGATCATTTGTTAAAAAAACAAAAAAAATAGTTCTGATTTAGATGGAGCGGTAAAAACAGAAGAAGAAAACACACCCTTTTTTTTTTTTCAGAAAAGCTTCTGTATCCTTCTCCCAAAAAAACCCTAGCTTTTTAGCAGCCTTGACAAGTCTGTGAGAGAGAAAGGGAGTTGACAAATGAAAGAATCCGTGTGACAGAGCTCCCGTATCTTCTAATACCCTAGCTTTTCGGCAACCTCGACAAATAACAGAGTTCAGAGAGGTGCTGATATGGATTTGGATTGATTACTGCACGTGTATGAAATGCATTGCTTTCGAGTTTTGTTTAGGAGTGCTGATATGGTGTAGAAGCTGGCACACAGAATCAGCAAAAGTTGGTATCTCTATTTCACTTGGGTAACACATAGTGGTTTTGCTAGAAAACGTAATGAGAGGTGCTGGCTTTAGCCACTCCATCTGATCATTATGGAACCACTTTGTTTCACAAGGATAGAAACAGCTGTTGCTATTATTATTTTGCTACTGCTATCATCTCTTTTCTTATTGATGCTGTCATAGTTTTCTTACAGTAATAAAACCACGAAACTATGCATAATGCATCATCTGCGGATATAGCATGAAACAATTTTCCTTAAGCGCTTTTATTAGTCCAACTATAATAATTCTTTGTGGATTCTCAATTGTAAAATTCTTATGAATGATTGACTCCTATCCCTTGTCCTGTGATTAAATTATTGCCTCTCCCTTTGCTTTCTGAGATAATTTTAGAACACGTTAAATAGTATACAAAACTTTTTTTTTTTTTTATCTTCTATCCAATGGACAGGTAGGTTCGTATGCCATTAGAGATTCAGAGGAGTACAAAAATTTTTGCGATCGATCAAAGGACCAGCGCCCGCTGCCAGAAGAAGTGATTGGTGTAAGATTTCTAGACACATTCAGATTCTGATTCTGATTCCATGAGGTATTGATTTTATAGGTTTTTGGATTGGACTTTGAGGAAAACCTCAACTATGAATCTCTCTACGTCTCTGTTTAGGTGGGTTTTGAACCTAGGTGTGATCATAGTTGAGTCAGTAAAGAATGGCCCAAGACCTGCAAGTCTGCAACCTAATAGCCTTGAAGTCTCCTTGACAAATTTGTTCAGAATACCCAAAATACTCAAAGTAAGACCGCATTTCTTTGTTTTACTAATGTAAACCAGATGGCTAGACGGTGCAACTGTTCCCCTGTCCCGCGCTGCATCTTTTCTCCCTTTCTTCTCCATCCTTGGAACATATCTACATCATTTGGAAAACTTTTGATTTCTATAAAACGCTACATTTTCTTTAGAATAAGTAGGGCAAAGCCTAGGAATGTTTAATAGTGACTTATGTTTTGTCCTGATCTTATGAGAACCGGTTAATTTTAATTGTGAATAAATATTACCTCTGAGACTTCTTAATGCTTTGCATTGTTATGCATGGTGCAGGACATTGCAGAACATCTGACAACAATACATTTTAAACGCTGTGACCGTGGAAAATGCTCCTTATATGAAGGCTCTACTCCACCTGGTGGATTCCCAAATTCCTGGGTTCTTGTTTTTCACCCTCATTGTCATTTATTAAGTTCTCTATTTTCTCAGTTCTTGCAGGCATATTTTCTGACACACCTGATAGCTTTAGATTAATGCCACTTGTTTTTCCAGAAGAAGGACCAAGTTACATAGTATTAATATGGTCCTCTTTCCTTTGACAGAATGGAGCAATCAACTGCACTTCGGAACTTACAACCTTGAAGAATAATGAAATACATACCTGGGATAGGGGATACGATGACGGTGGAAATCAGGTTGCTCTCATTCTCACGCTTCTGATTTGAGCATAAACCGCCCCCCTCTCCAGTCGATGGAGAAAAGAATAGAAGGTTCATTCTTTTTGCAAGTGTGATCACTTGCTACATGTACAATCAACCACGGCATGTAACGTATCAAACTTCAAATTATTTCACAATGTTGTGGGACAGAGTGATGCCTTTAACCTTTCTATTTCTTTTTAAGTTTTGAATTCAGGCGAAGATTATAGTTCTGCACAAATTCACCATTGGATAATTAGCTCTTCCACCCCCCGC